TATTGTGGCACAAAAGAAAGGACTGTCTGAATCCCTATCTTATAACAGTGTTATCAGTTTTCCTTGGTGACACATATGCAGTTTAAACTCCATCCTACTCATGAAAAGATAAAGGTCTTAGATCAGATTTCCCAATTTCCCAGGCTTCTAGTACTACTTTCAATCTCTTTTGCCAGTAATCGTGACTTAGAATTCCTGTGAACAGCCTCCATTTCCCTCCCCTCCCGGTCTGCCCCCCTTCTCATCCCCTCAGTATCTATCATTTAAAGAGGATGCCTTGGCTAGCATATCCAGCCTTTTCTTGTTCTCTACAAAAAGGGATCAGCTGTAGAGTTTCAGACATCAAAGACCTCAACAAAACACAAACCACAGGCACTGGTGTAGAAATGGATTTCAGAATAACAGCCATTACCCAGAGGCAGAAAATACAAAAATGATACAAACATAAGAAAAAAAAAAAAAAAAAAAAAAAAAAAAAAAAAAAATTGGAAGAGGAAAGAGCATAAAAGATGTTTTTTATAGCAAAATAGTGCATGTAGAAAGAAAAGGAGAAGAGGAAGGGCAGGAGACCAAACTGCCCTAAGCATTTACATAAGACACTTGTATAACATACATTACTACAGTCAAGACATACAGAAATAAGGTGGATCAATAAATGATATGCGAAGTTTTTAACTAATAACCAAGGTTAACAGAAGTCTTGAATGGGTCATGGTCAGAGAGTGTCAAGTCCTGCCCTCCATATACATCAGCAGCCAATCGCATCCCATTTCAGTAGGTTACAAAGTACACTTGACTGAGATGGGGTGTTTCTCAGAAGACTTCTGCCAGGGTCTGTAAATGTTCATAGCTAGAGTTCCAGGGCAACCTATTCCTGCTTTCTAATCTGGACTACTGGGGAATAATGCAAAGAACAGTCTAGATAAATCTTCAATACTTCCTTAGAGTTGGGCATATGACCATTTGGTCTCTATTTCTTACAGTTCTGCTTTATTGGAGGCAAAAACTGATCACAAAAGAGTGCTTTCTATCTGCTTGGATTGCTATTGTTCCATGATTCACTGTGCCACATAAAGGATTATTATTTGCTCTTGAATAAATAATATATATATATATAATTGAGAGATAAGCTGTAATTTTTAAATTTCATTTTTGTCAGGAATATAATTTCCTTTTCATGTCAACATATCCACGAAGACAAGAGATTAATTTCTGAAGTATTTGAAAGTAAAAATGGCTTAAAATTATAACAATGTGGGGCTGGAGTGGTTAAGACCACTGGCTGCCCTTACGGAGGACTCGAGTTCAATTCCCAGCACCCACATGGTGGCTAACAACCATCTGTAACTCCAGTTCCAGGGCAATCTGATGTTTTCTTCTGACCTCCAAGGGCATTGCACAACATGGGTGTACTTATATATGCAAAGGCAATACACTCATACACATAAAATAAAAATAATAAAATATTTTTAAAAATATAACAATATGAATAGAGACAGTAAGTATATTAGAAAGCAGAAGAGAAACCTGTGGCTTCGTGGTTGACTGCTTCTGGAAACTACACATCCATATGAAAAACTGGGCAATTAAAATAATTTTAGTGAATGAAAATTATATACTTGCCACACATCAATACATACTGCACATATCAATGCCTCAAATAGCTACAACACTATTTTAAGCTTATGTCTTCTTCCTAACAGCATATTACTAAATGCTTTGACCACTTTCTTGCCAATATTCTTTACCGATATTTTGAGGTACAGGTCAAAAATAAACTTTGAACAGATAATTTTGCAGTGGTTACCTTATTAATCTGTTTTAGGTACAGAGTTTTTGAGATCTACACATAGTTAACAGTTACCTACCTAGTACTGGGTGCCCAACCACAGTTCTAAGCATGTCATATATAATAATTCTCAAAACAAGCAGCTTAGATGGAACAATGGGGACAGGGGAGTGCACCTATTACTCAGCAATCATCAGTTTTTATCTAAAATGTCCACACGCAGCCAGAATATCAAAAGATGACAAAACAATAAATGCCTACAGCTTTTTCCTCTATATTAACTCCCTATCTGTAAAAGACAAATTACATTTCTTTTTTGATTGACAATTGGTTCAAATATTATCTATGAATAAAGCTTAGAAGGAAGGGTGAATTAATACCTTTCTTTTACACCAGACACGACTAGCTCATTTACTTTAATGACAAGAAACAGTGGACTAAATTAGGCCATAAAAATCTAAATGGTCAATGGACATCTGCCATCCTATACTGGAACTTGGTGAATGGTTTTTCTGTTCGTTTAAACCTGTCATTGTTATTATTCAGAGTTTCCAAAAGAATTAAAAAGAAAAGTAAAATAGGGAAAGTCAGAAGCTGCAAAGTATTGCTGAGTGCCTTCATTTGAGGAAAGAGACCATGCAGGAATGAACTCTTCCCCAAAGGGTGTGAAGATGTCTGTAAACATAAATTTAGAAAATCAATTAGAATAAAGGCACAAAGGATTTCGTATGAAATGAAAGCTTATAGGACATTAGAGAAAACACTATTATGTTTTCACTGTAGATTATACAATGCCCTTGGATACCCACAGGACCTACGTACACTGTAGACAGAAAAATGCTAAAACAGACAAAACAGCTGTTGCTTATGTTAATAACAAATGATTTATAGGCTCATAACTATTGCTTTGGCAAAGAAGCCCAGAGAAACCTAAGTCTACATTACTTTCAGGTTAAATTTTGTAGGTCTCACCCCTTCTCAAATGAGTTATGACACCAGTATTCTTATGATATTGTTCCTCACTCTCCAATCCAATTTTGCCCAGGCACTAAGCACACCTAAGTAATGCTGAACCTTCACTTTGGTTCACTATACTCAAAGGATAAAGTCCAAACTCAGCACTGCACATCCACCCTGGACGATGTTCTCCCAAATGTGCCATTCATGAGCAGTACTTCCATACTGTCCACCAAGCAACTCATATACCTCACCTATGGATGGTAAAATCCAAACCTACTTGAATGCCTGGGTTCCTACAGGTGCAGAGTCACTTCCTCAAACACCATGCCATTTTTGTCTTGTATCCTTGCATAGGTGGCTCCATCTAGCAGGAATCCTCTCCCTGATTCCCATTTCCTCTGCCTGATCAAATCCATCCTTCAGGGGTCACATTCTCCCCCTTGGATGGGGCCAGAAGCTTTTTAGATACGGCACTGTGCTCCTTAGCTAAACTAATGAATTGCTTGCTTTATATCACCTTCTAGCTGAGTGACCTTGGGCAAGTTCATTAATTATCCTGAGTCTGTTTCTTCATATCCTGAAAGTCAACATTAATTTGCTGTCACAGTGAAATGAAGCATCTCACAATCACTTTGTGAACAGTAAGGCACCATACCATGCAAGCATTAGAATGTGTAAGCATAAAGCAAAGAGCATACAGTATTCTTCTAAGGTTAATCTACGGGTAAAATGCATTTTCTAGTTCGAGCTCCCTTTTCAAGGATGCCCCGACTTTTAATCCTGCTTTCTGACTACTAAGTTCTTGTGTTTCTATCTTCAGGACAAACCCTGCAGTGATGTTTGGATCATTTTTTTAAAAAAATTAAGTGGGAAGTCTCTGAGAAATAAGGATTTTCCTTTTCCCCCATATTTCCTAATATATGCACAAGAGTACTGTGCTAGCAAATACAGTCACTAACATGAAAGTGAATGGATGAATGCAAGTATCTTGTCCTTAGTAGGCTTATAATCAAAAGGGTGACATAACAGATTCCACACGAATTTGATCTTAAAAAAAAAGGAAGAAATGCTTACAGTGTCATCAAGAGCAGCAAGAAAGTTCCTGTTATGCTTACTTTATGTGACGATTTGACAATGTTATATTTGCTATCTTAGATACTTGCAATTAATGTATGCATATTTTGACATTATCTGAATCACGGATGCAATTCAGTACTTAGTTATTGGATATCTATTGCACTAGGTTTTACGAGCCCAGAAATAAAGGTGATGGACTCTGCCCGAAGGCACTGAATATAATAAATAGAAGCTAAGCCATCAAACATATAATACAGGACAGAATGATGTAAGGCGTATGGAGGACTAAAGACAGGGAAAGTCATTTGAGTTAGGGCACTGCACCCCATAAATCACACATTCCAAATCATTGATTGCTAATAGTTTCTGTTAATTCCTATTACGTATCACATTTATTAATATATGCTGCGTGCCATCGCAGATATATCTGGATTGCCTTTCTCCTTAATTTTATGCCTACTTGTGTTACTGAGGAATGTTTACATTCACATCACACATACATGCTGAGCACTGTTCAGAGACCTTTACCACATTCCCATTTTACAGATGAGGAAACCGAGGTATAGGTCTTGCAAGTCTTCAAGGTTAAGATGCAAAAATAAAAACATGTAAATGAGGTCTTTAGAGATGCACGAATATTCCACACAGAGTGCGCGCACCCACTCGCCAGAACCGTCTCCTGCAGTGCTCTTCTCCTGCCCAAGGCACCCAGGGCGAACAACATACCACGTAGCCTTTCCTTTCCCGCCAGGGCTTTTTCTCTTCCTGTGTCTCTAATTGAACTGTTGATTCTCAGGCAGACATTCTGAAAACCTTCCCACTCCGGTACATGTTATTTAAATCACAGGCGCTTCGGGGTAACTGAGACCGAATCGGATATCCAGGTGGACAAAGCCCCGGGGATTGGGGCTCCGTTCCTGGACCTCCTCCAGGGGATGGCAGCAGCACTCCGTTCACCCAGGAGGCGCCATCCCCGGCGGAATCCTCTCCCCCGACCCCGGGCAGCTCAGGCTCTGCCATCTGCTCCGTTACCCTTCACCTGCCGGCGCTCTGCACACCCGCTTCTTAACCCGACCAGCACCAGGCCTCACGCGGCCAAGTCCCCAACCTGGTCCAGCGCGCATCCCGGCCGCAGGCTCAGCTCTCCCCGCCCCACCCCTGGCCCGCCACTTACGATTCCAGTACACCGGGTAGCACTCTCCTTGAGTGACATCCACCTCGTACAAGCCGCCCCGCACACACACCGGCTCGATGGTCACCAGCTCCTCCATCTCCGGCTCGTGCCCTGCCGTGCTCCGGCAGAAGCCGCAGGCGCGGTCCTCGTCGTTCTCCTCGTCGGAGCCGGAGGCCGGGTCGCCATCCTGGGCCTCGGCCCGCTCCTGGGCGCCCGTGGTCTGCACCAGGGTCCGGAAGGCGAGCTCGATGCGGAGAGAGTCGTAACCGATGAAGGGCTTCCAGGTCTTCTTGTCCTCCTTGTAGAACCAGCGCACCTCCTCTGGGCCCAGCTCCGTCACCACCTCGTAGCGGTGTCGGGCGGCCGTCCCGCCCGGCCGGGCTCGCTTCCTCTCCCCGGGACCCCCTCCCGCCGCCCTGCCGCCCCCCGAGTTCGCGGCCACTAGCGGCGGCGGCGGGGGCTGCGGCGAGCTGCTGCCGCCGCCGCTCTCGCCCTCGCTGTAGTAGCGCAGCGACGAGCCCGACTCGGCGGAGCTGAAGTCGTAGTTCTCGTCGCTGAGACACGAGTCCAGGGCGAGGTGGCCCAGGTCGTCGGTGCCGGGCGCCAGGTGCAGCGGCTCCCCGCGCAGCAGAGCCAGCGACACGCTGCCGTCCGCCGGCTCCCCGCCCGGCAGGTGCTCCAAGCAGGAGCCGCCGCCGGGGCCGAACGCGCCAGCCGCGTCGGAGCACAGCTCCCAAGCGCTGCCTCCGCTGCCGTTACGCTCGGGGCTCCGCGGGACTCCGCGGCCCGGGTAGTTCATGCCGCCGAGACGCCGCGGGCCCGCGCTTCCGCCACAGACACATCCGACGCCGCCGCCCTCTCCGCCGGGACTTTCTAATCTTTCAAAGCCAGAGCAGGGCAGCGGCACTGGCCGCCGCGGCGTTCCGAGACCCACCCCATTGTCGCGCACTCCCAGGGTGGACGGAGCCCTGGAGAGACCACGCCCCGCGTCCGCCGCAACGGCGTTCTGAGGCCCGCCCCATTGTCGCGCACTCCCTGGGTGGGCGGAGCCCTGGAGAGGCCACGCCCCGCGTCCGCCGCTGCGGCGTTCTGAGGCCCGCCTCACTGTCGCGCACTCCCAGGGTGGGCGGGGCTCTGCGGAGGCTCCGCCCCGCGGCCGCGGGCGCTTTTTGCGAAGCTCCAGTTCTACGGGGTTCGCTGGGGATGGGCAGCTCCTCAGCCGCCTGCGCCTGAAGTGCGGGGTAGGCCCAAGTCACTTGCCATCCTTGCCCTCCTCGTGGCCCTGCTTCAGGCCTCGCCGCGCAGTTGCCCCATGCTGCAGGAGGTGAGAGCCCAGCTGGAGTGCGGCTTTTCCCTGATGATCTTTACACATTTGGGGCAGGGGCCTCCGGGGCTGATTGAGCTGCGTGCCCTGGAGGGCCCTCCACTCCCCCATGCCTGCTGCTCACCTCTGCAACACCCGCTACTCCCACTCAGAAACTGGAGCAACCTCCCTGTGTGGCACTTATTAATTGGTGTTGCTTATTTCCCTGTGCTTACCTTTCTTGTTTTTTCTCCACCATAGTAAGTCCTAGATGGAAACCTAGTCCCTGTGTCTCAGCCTTTCCCATACAGTGGGTGTACATTTGATGATCCTAGATAGTAAAGATGGTAAGGCCAGCCAGGTATGCTAGAAAGATTATTAGCTTGAAGAAACAACAAAAAATTTAGGTTCGAGGCTCAGCTTTGTTAACTCGGGCAAGTCAGTTTAATCTCCTTGTTCTGTTTTCCTCATTTCTAACTTTTAAGAGATTACTGAAGCAGATAACCTCTAATTCTCTCTAGCAATAGTTCCAGGGATTTGTTTTGTTTTGTTTTAATGCATCTCTAATTCTGTAACTCACTTTCTGGGATTGGGGTAAGTGTTGAGGCTACCATATAAGATACTTTTTGCTAGTAATTCAAGAATAGACAGTCTTCACTGTTTCACTCTGGGACTCAGGTCAGTGGGGCAAGTTTTCTTGCTCTTGGGATGTAACCTGTCAGATTATTCAGTCATTATTTAAATCAGGATCATCTCTAGTATGCACAGTGCTTTTGTAAGACTTTGTAAAAAGGCACTGCTTCCTGTGGACAGATTCAGAGTGATGGAATTCATGGCGTGGCAAGCAGAGGAGCTCGGCTGGACTTTCTGCCTTGATTGTGCATTTGGCTGGGTAATCTTGTCCAGTGAACAGCTTGTTCATTTCTACAGTGCAGTCCTCATAACAAAGCATTCATACAGCTGTGAGTATCTGCAGCCCAGAACTTTGAACTATTGCTATTCACGAAGGTACTGATTATACACTTTTGATATTTACCTATGTGCCAGGCCCCTCTGTGCTGTCTTCTGGTACAAAAGAGAATGCGAGAAACCAGGTTCCTTCTCTAGGAATCTATAGTTTAGTCAGGGATATAGATAAGTAAACACATATTATAGTACAATGTGATTTAAAATAGTGGACATGACCCATTTGAAATATTTGTCTTTCTTGTTTCAATGTAGCCCAGGCATTTAGCCCTTTATGTGTTAGTGGTTAGATTATTTTAGCAAAATTTTAACTCCAGAATGACAGTTTCTGTTAATGATTATTACCCTCTGTAAAAAAAAAAAAAAAAGGACTCATTGCCTTGTATTGAATGTTTTTATAATTTAAGTGTGCTAATTTAGTTATTTTGAGATTATCTTCATGGTCCATTGGATAAGGCTACATAGATAGGTAGCATAATCTTAAAGTATGTGTTTAGTCTCATTTTATGCAGTGGTACTAATATGATACCACGTTACATGGTACTTAAAGCATTCATTTTAGGGATCCCAACTGTTCTGACAACCTGTTCCTTCAGAATTCTCTCAGAACTCTGCCCTGGAATAAGAGCTTGCTCTTTCTTTTATTGTAGCATTGTATTTAGCATGAAATGTGGGACAAAAAGAGAAACTTTTATCAGAGGATGATCCCTTCTGAACCCTATTGGCCTTGAATAGGATGCACACAACCACAAACAGGTGTTATCAATTTAATCCCATCTATTGGTTTCATCAAATACCAGCTGTCTGCAGTGTTTGATTAACAGCAAAACATATACACAAATATATATGCATTGTTCTGGGCCAAGAGCAAGGAAGTCAGGAGCTTTGTGTTTAGGTTACAGTAGGAGCTCAAGGCTCAGAGAGCTTGTCTACATTATAAACAAGCTCAAATAAAATTAACTTTTTGGTTACAAGGTTAAGAAAAAATCATTTGTCTAGATCTAGCCCATATTGAAAAAGTCATTCCTACAGTTCCCCCCTTTGTTTTATAAATGAAAAGGCATGTAAAGGTCATGCTCACAGTTTTAATCCAGGCAGCAAGAAAAAGTTGTTTCAGACTCTCTCCTGACCTCCCTCTCAATCTAGAGTACCTTCGTGAGAGAGGTCAGTCAGTATTTGTGACAGTTGAGCTTGCTATGGCCCTGTAGAAAACAGCTTGAATTGGGCACCAGGCTGACTGAGCAAAAGACATTTGAAGATACGGTATCTATTTGCATATGACTGCGTGTGTTTATTTTCTAGCCACATCAAGACTAGGGTTATAAAATTGCTTTTCTCAACTTTCTTTTCTGCTTTAAAAGGTTATCTGAGGTTTCCTGCTAGAATCCTTTTGCTTTCTAGAGCATCTTTTCAGATTATATGATCCTGATAGGAAGGTAAAGGGTCAGGCCTCCATTCCATTCCCCAGTAGCAAGAACAGATGTCCAGTGGTTTCTCAGCACATCTTTAGTGTGCTAATGAACACAGCCCTCTCTGAACTGCCAGGGCATTAGGCAACAAATTTGACAGTCCTTTAATACTTACCCAACACTAACCCTCTTTCACATAAGGAAATTAAGCATGACTGATTCAGACTTCCGGCATTTGTGAGCTTGGTGGATATGGAACCAAGCCTGGGGGAGTGTTAGTAGGGGAAAGAAGAGAAAAGCCAGCTACAAAAGAAAAAAACCTCCTTGCCTCATCCAACTATCCTTCTTCCCATAATGCTCTAACAGGGGTTATGTGCAACAAAGACCATCTTCCCCTTCCCACTTCTCAGAAGCTACATGGTCTTTCAATCTTGTTTCTATTTTCAACTTAATCTGTTTTCATCTGTGGAAAAATACAAGGATAGCTCTATTCCATGTGATTATTGTGAGCTAATACCTCACATTTAAACTTGAAAATGGCGTCAGCCAAACGGTATGGACAGAGTACATGAGTTTATAATGAAACCTGCATTATCTGTTGTATCTACTGCTTGATAAGCTGTCAATTGTGTTTGAACTTTACTCTTTTTTTTTTTTTTCCTTTTGAGATAAGATCTCCCTATGCAGCACTGGCTGGCCTGGAAGTCACTATATAGACCAGGCTGGCCTTGAACTCAAAGAGATCTGCCTGCCTCTCCTTCCTGGGTGCTGGGATTAAAGGCATATCCCACCAAACTCAGCTGAACTCTACTTTTTAGTTTTAGGATTGCTATTTATCCCATTTCCTTAAAATGAAAGTGTGTTTTAGGCCACAGAATGAATAGCCACATTCTGGCCTGAAGCAGGGAGCAGTCACCAGACCCCATTAGGTGTCTACCAAGTTTCAAGCTGTCTACTAGCCTCTACAGTGAAGTCTCAGTTCAACAGTATCTTCCAATAAAAACACAGTGGTGAGGCTGGAGAGATGACTTGGCCATTAAGAGTGCTTGCTGCTCTTTCAGAGGACTAGAGTTTGGTTCCCAGCACCCACATCAGCCACACAACTGCCTATAACTCCAGCGCTAGGGGATCCAATGCCCTCTCCTGACTTCTGTGGGCATCTGCACATATGTGTGCATATACACATACAGGCTCACCAAATGAAAATAAAATACATCTTTAAAAATTAATGCTCAAATTTTTTTTGAAAAAAGCATCTTTTTAATTCCTAAGAGAAATGTGACTTTAATGTGAGGATCTCTGCAGCACTACACAGAGGTTTCTGTCTCTAAAGACAGATCAATGAAACCAAACTTTAGTAGAAGTGTAAAAATGTTATAGGACTACATAATGAATAAAATCATCCATCCTTCCACTTATTCATTCAACAGATATTGGTCTAGTGCTCTTGTGAAGATGTTTTTGTTTGTGCACTTTTAACTGAAATCACACTTAAAATGTAGAATTATCAAATACATTTGCTTACAGATTTGTAAAAGGGCTGTCCATAAAACCAAACTGTACTCACAAAACTCCATAGAAATACTTCAAGTCCCATAAAAATGTTCTTTTTGCAAGTAAAGCTTAATTGTGTTGAGGGTATATCTATATCTATATCTCTCTCTCTATATATATACATATATTTAGTTAAAGAAATAGAAATTAATACAATATTGATGTATATAACATGGGGCAAGCCCCAGAATAAAGATGATTTGATTTGGGATATTACTGTCCTTTCATTATTAAAAAGTGATTTAGGCCATAGACATGGTTTGCTGTGAGGCCTGCTGTAGGTGTCTTTGATGACTTCTGTGCTCTGAGATTTTTTTCCTACCTCATCTAAGACATAAATTATTCATAAAGTATATGGCATATGACTCATATGAGCCTTCAGGAAAAATCATAGACAATCATGCTAAGAGAGATTATACTTGTATGTTTTATTCTGATTTTCATAGAAAAAGTTGAGGAAAGAAAATCTTTACTATGTTGCAGTAAAGATTTTTACTAGTGATACTCTGGTTAATTTGCAGAGATATTTTATTGGCAGAACCCACCTACCATTTTACAACTACTGCTTGAAGAAGTAAGTTTATCCTTATGTCAGTGTTTCAGATTTTAAGGTTTCAACTTAAACAAAATATTCTAGACTCACAAGCCCATAAACTCCTATTTATTCTGTTGGGTTTCTGAACCATACATGAAAGCCATGAGTATACTACCATTGATTAAATTAAAGGGAGTGGTAGGAATGCAAGATTCTTTACATTTTAAATATTAAACAACCTGTATTTTAAATATAGGAAATGAGAAATCATGGCCTTCCATTTGAAACTCATTCTGTTTTCATGTTTTAGATTTAGAACTTCAGATGCAATCTGATTCTTAATCATCAAGTGCTTACAGTTCTTCAGTTGATTTTTATTTCATTTAATATGTATTTTAAAATATGTATTTTTATTTGCTTATGTGTATGGGTGTATTGCCTGCATGTATGTAAGAACACCCATGTCATGCAATGCCCACAGAGGTCAGAAGAGAGTATTGAATTCCCCTGGAACTGGAGTTACAGATGGTTGTTAGCCACCATGTGGGTGCTGGGACTTGAATCCCAGGCCTCTGTAAAAGTAATCAGTGTTCTTAACTGCTGAGCCATCTCTCCAGCCCTGTTAATGTATGTATGTATGTATGTATGTATTTAGAGTCAGGGTTTCACTGAGGTAACTCTAGGCCTGACCTGGAACTATATAGATCAGGCTGGCCTGGAACTCAGAGATTCCAGATGTTGGAATTAAAAGTGAGTATCATCATTTTTGACCAGATGAGCATTAATGTTACTTACTTCTTAATTTAGGAATTATAAATTTTGATTACTCATATCTCTATCTTAGTCCATTTTGTGTTATAATAATATCCAAGACTAAATAATTTTTAAAGAAAGGTTTATTTTGACTTACAGTTATAAAAAAAGTGAAGTCCCACAGCATGATGCCAGCATATACTGGCTTCTGGTAGAGGGTGGTCCATATCATGGTGAGAAATGGAAAGAGGAAGCAAGTGTTCTGGAGGGATCATATGTTTAGAAGAGACCTACAAGAGGCACCAGGCTCACTGAATAATCACTTGCTCTGGGTTAATAGTAGGTGGCTAACCAACCTTTGAGAACTAAATTACTTCACGAGGGTGGAGCCTCCCTGGCCCAATTACTTATTTATTTATTTTATTTATTTATTATTTGTTTATATTTTATTTTTTGGTATTTTTGAGACAGAGTCTCCCTGTAGCCCCAGCTGGCCTGGAACTCACTGTGTAGACCAGGCTGGCCTTGAACTCACAGAGATCTGCCTGCCTCTGCCTCCTGAGTGCTGGGATTAAAGGCATCCACCACCACACCCGGCTTATTTATTTTTACCTTTTGTGTAAGAGTGTTATGCCTGCATGTATTTAAGTGCACCCTCGTCATGCAATGCCGGAGGAGTTCAGAAGTGGGCTTCAGATCTTCTGGAAATGGATGTATCTAAGGTTGTTAACTGCCATGTGGGTCC